AATCAGTCGTTTAATAGCTCAACAATCTCAAAATTGTTAAACTCTCGATATTTTACAATTTGATCGTCATTAACGATCAGATTCAACAATTTCAATTCCATTACTTTTGGTTGAAAATCATAAAGAAATTGCCGAAGCCAAACAAATATTGAACATCTCTCGTGAGTACGTGGTTGGAATTAAAATGGAAACGTGAAGATTTGCCAAACGCAACGCTCGACGATAAGAAGCGTCACTGTGAAATGGATGCATATTTCTCACACTGTGACTTACAGTCAGTTCATCAAATTTTAACATTGCGCACAGCATTGAATATGTTTTTCAAATTAAAGAACTTTAAAACGGCCGCACCATTTACCCAACGATTACTTGAGCTCGGGCCAAGATCAGAAGTGGCGCAACAAGCTCGCAAAATTCTAGAAGCATGTGAGTTGAACATCACAGACGAACACACACTCGAATATGATGAACATAATCCATTTAGTTTGTGCGCCAACACATTTAAACCGATTTACAAAGGTGAACCGGAAGAGAAGTGTCCATTGTGCGGTGCATCGTATCAACCAACATTCAAAGGAACATTGTGTAATGTATGCGAAGTCGTCGAAATTGGCAAAGATGTAGTCGGATTGAGAATATCACCATTGCAGTTTAGATAAATACAAAACCAATCCCAAATTTTTTCATTAATCAACCAATTTTACTTCCATAAGAGAAACAAAACCATTAAGCATTTATACACCCACAAACAAGAAAAAATGAAGTACATTTATTGGCTGTTAAAAATTTAAGATAAAATTTTCATTGTATGTCAATAATTAAAAGTCGTTTCATTTTACAAATTGTATTCACTGCGATTTATTAAGAGAATTTCAATTTTTAAAAAACTTAAACAAAAATTATTGTGCGAAGACTAAAAAAGAACATGATTTCAGTGGATTTTCATTGGCAAATATTTCAATTTATGATTTTTCATCTTCTTACAATAAAATATTATCCCCTGAATTATTAGAGGTGAGATACCTCATATATTTGTACAAACTACAATGCTTTATAATTGGAAAAATTGTTTTTTTTTTACTAAAAATAATACAAAATAGCGAAAGCAAGTGTTTGATTGATTGATGGAATTTGCCATTTATTAGGCATAAATTTCATTCAGATTTCATTGTCCCAAATCAATGAGTTCGCACTGGAGCTTTCATTAGAAATTAAAAGTAGTTTTTAAAATACTGATTAAAATAAAAATCATATAAAAAAAATCGATCCATAAATGAAGTTTGTTGAAATTGTTCGCAAAGGGAGTTTTAGCACGAATTGCTCGGATCGAATGTAAAGTTTATTCCGAAGTTAGCTAACCAGAAAAAGAATCGCGAGAGTAATGTGTGACCTCATTTCTAATAAAAGAATAAGCTTGGGTTAATGTGAGCGGTTACTAGTCAATATTCATAATTAACTATGAAAAATGCTAGAATTGTTTTACAATTTACGATAGAATCCACTTAAGAAAGACTAAACGTGTTAAAATTACGAGTAAAAACGAAAATTTGGACCATTATTAAGATGAAATTGTTGATTTAACCCTTTTTTCTATACCTAACATCTGTACGGCGATTCTGTGCAGGTGCGATTGAGTGAAAACCACGTAAGATGCTAAAAACAGTCTTCCAATCTGGAACTAAAGTCGGCAAACTTCCTCTTAATTGACGTACATGATTCAGATCAACGTCCAATACAACCGGTTCTTCTTCAGTTGTCTGGAATATGAAACGAATGTTAGGGAAGATTAGTCATCATCCATTAGTCCAAAACATTCACTGACAACCAAATCATATAACTCACTTACCGAAAAAGACAATGTAAGCTTCGATTCATCAACAGGTACCATGCCGTGCAATACATAGACTTTTCCATCAAGCACATATCTTAGTGAATAGTCGAAACTGTTTTCATTCCAATTGTTTGGCAGCTTTACGTTACCGTTGGACACTTCATTTGCTCGTAATGTTTTCTAATAGATAAAAATAAATTGTATTGTGATATTTTTCACTGTCATTTAATATAAAAACCTAACCTCTTCTCCTAAACCTAGACATTCCAAATTGGCTCGATCCACCAAAAGCCAATGAGCGATTGCAATTATAATATCTGCTTTGCACTTTATGTCATTTTCGATGATAGAGTACAATAATTTCCAATATGCAGCCGACATTTTACGATTTTATTTCATAAACTTTATAATTTAAACAATTTTAGATAAAAAACATGTAGTAATGTAATACGAAGTTATATTATATTGATTTTTTTTCATCTGGTGTGAATCGATAGAATGTCAATTATATTCACACTACGATAGAATGATTCATGATGAAGCTGTCAGATGTTATATGGCCACACTGTTATTGTGAATGAATTGATTGCAAAAATATGCAGCAGATGGCGAATTCGAGTCATTTTTGAAATAAAACAAAAAAAAATTGTTTTCATTTGATTTAAAGTGTGTCAAACAAAATGATTCTTAACATGAATCCATAGCTAATAAAATAAAGGTAATAATGAATAAAAACTTTTTGTTCAAAATTGATTCAAGTCTAGATAAATGTCATTGGCGATCTTAAATCTAACTGATGGTGTAAAACTTTTTTTTCCGTATTTTTGCATCAATTGACAATAGTTTCATAGGTGAATCTTATTTG